TTGTCTATTAAGCAGTCATAGTGATGGAGAGAGAGTCTTTTACTGGTTAATGGAACCCCCATGTATCTAAATGGAAAATTTCCTTATTGGAACCTAGTTAGATCCTTGATGTCCTCTTTTATATTATCATCTACTGATCCAAAATAAATGTTGCATTTTTTTGGATTCACCTCCAGTCTAGTAGAAGTAGATAAATGATTAATTGCTCCATCATGAGATCTATAGAGGTTTTGTCTCCTCTTTGCAAAGAGCAAGTGGTCATTTGCAAAAGACAAGCTACTGATGTAAAGATTCTCACACTTAGAGTGATAATTGAAATTGTGATTTTTCTTCAACTGGTCAAGGGATCTGGTGAGGTAATCCATCACAATCACAAACAACAAGGGAGATATGGGATCTCCCTGCATCAAACCTCTCTTTGAAGGCACGGTTTTTGTATAAACTCCACTCACATTGAATTTATAGCTAATAATACTCACACACATCATAATCCAATTAGTAAACTTATTAGGCATACAAGTTTCATGTATAATCTTCTCCAAAGCCCTCTAGTCTATGGTGTCATAGGATTTTTGCAAATTGATTTGCAACATACACTTAGGAGTATTTCCTTTCCTAGTATAGCCTTTAATAAGTTCAAAATCTAGCAAGATGTGATTGTGTAATTGGGTTCCTGGTATGAAAGCAGCCTGGTTCTTTTGAATAATACTACCTATAACATTCCCCAATCTATGTGGAAAGTACTTTTGATGCAAGTAAGTTGATCCCTACACTCAAAACCAAAAGCTCATGATATCATTTGTTGGCGCAATTCGGGAGATGTCAAACGAGGAGCATTTTTGTTTTAGGGACTTTTCTTTTGAGAAAGACACATTTATGAGAGACACATCACATATTCACCCAAACCTTAAGGTTATATGTGTGTGGATTCTCCCACTTATAAATGCTCAAGTCTCCATATTCCTAATCATGTAATCTTTATCAAATACTCATATAATCACAACACATTCAGTCCCTATAAACAATTTCATTTGATGGAAATTGGCGTTAGCTTTCTAACACTTCGAATTGTGCCCCAAACGGAGTCAAGAATCTCAAGTTACGATCAAAATAGTATTTTGACAAAATTGCCTTCGCGATTTGAGTCAAATGTAAATTGTAATTCGAATCAAATTGGGCACGGACTTCCAGAAGGCCATGATTTGAATCAAATTCACAATGTAAACGCTATGATTTGAATCAAATTCGTCTATAGCATTTTTCTGCTAATTTTTCACGGGAATTTCACTTTTAAGCTCTTTTTTTTCCAACTTAGACCTATCCCAAATGCTCCATAACATGTCCAAATAGTTTATTTCAAAAATATGTTATTATAGGTCAATTACCTATTGTTATTACATCTTATATCATCAACTTAACAATTTAATCAATATTTCTCATGATTTCACAATACCCCTAAAACCTTCAAAAGTCTATCGATGGAGGAAAACATCAACAATCCCAATACAGTAACATCATACATAATCATGTATGATAATTCATCATCAATCCAGTCAACAACATTATAACAACATAAAAACTCAGAATTAATCAATGCAAAATATCCTATTGGAGGTTAAGGACTTCTCTACTCTACTCCTCATGCATATATCATTTATTAAGGTTATTCTCCTCCTTACCTGGTGATCCTATCAAAAATAAAATGGTGGCTTGGCTGATGAGCTTCCCTCAATTTCTAGCCTTCTTCTTCTCCCATTTGTTCCTGGCCGCTTTGCATTTTTCTCTTTGAATTGCACGTACTGACAAATTTTAGGTTAACTCTTTCTTAACCTTAAATATTATACTAATCTGATAAAAATTAATTTTCACCTCACTTAGTCTCTTCTCTCACTCCTTCATCGCAAAATTTGTACTAATTTCTATATTAGCCCCAATCTCTCTAGTTACTCTCCACACTCCTATCTCAAAGTCACACACCCCGTTACACTTATTTATTTAAATAGTTTAATTAAATTACTCTTTATTTTAATTATTAAGATTCTAAATAATTTTTATCAACTCCAACAAGTCACAACTTATTCTCTACACCCCTATCTATCGGGCATACACCCCTACCCTCTTATTTATCTAATTATTCACACACAATAATTAAATAAAATACATATAAATCATAAAAAAATCATAAGTAACTCAATTAAAATGATTTAATAAAAATTGTGGTGTTACAGTCAGCACCTCCATCATTCCACTTATTTTTCTTCTATTTTTCTTTTCCTTTGTTGATCTTTGAGTTATTTTCTCTCATCTTTTTGAAGAACTTGACTTGCAATGCTTGTTTTGTGATTTTCTCGGAATTCCTCTACTTCAACCTTAAATTATGAGCCTTCAAGGACGCTTGAAATTCCTCAAGCTTCATCTCAGTCAAATTTTTGTATTCTTCAATTATCACAACAATGTGACAGACAAAGAATTCATATATGAAAATACATGCATATTTATGGTAAACACTAAAGGAATAAACAATTTGTATTTCATTGATATTTAGTAAATAATACATGAAGGGCATTTATAGAATGTAAGGGACAAACCAATAAACACTAATCTAGTCTTAGAATCCAGACAATTATACTTTCTATAAATGATAATTCTAAATATGGTACACACAGAAAGAAAAAAACTAATTACTAATTATTATTTACAATGAATAATAATTGTACAGAATCAATGTATTATCTATCTCTGATAACTTTCAACACTCCCCCTCAAGTTGGCATGAATATGTCATTCATTGCAAGTTTGCTCACTATATCATCAGACTTTTTTTTTTAGAAGACTCTTTGTGAGAACATCTACTACTTGCCTTGTGGTAGGTACATAGGACATACAAATTTCACCACTATCAATTTTTTCTTTAATGAAGTGTTTGTCCACTTCAACATGTTTCGTTTTGTCTTGTACGACGGGATTATGGGCTATGGAAATAGTTGCCTTATTATCGCAATAAACTTTGATTAGTAATGGGATAGAAACCTTTAATTCCTCCATGAATTTTTTAATCCATAATACTTCACAAAAATCATGGGTTACATAGTGAAATTCAGCCTCTGCACTACTCCTAGCTACAACATTTTATATTTTTTTACTTTTCCATGTAACTAAATTTCCTCCTACAAAAGTACACTATCTTGAAGTAGACCTCCTGTCATTTATATTACCTGCTCAATCAGCATCTGTGTAAACTCCCACTTGCATGTGTCCTCTGCTTTTGAATGTCAATCCTTTTTCTGGAGTTCCTTTCAAATATCTCAATATTCTGAAAATAGCTTCAAAATAAGTAGGTCCTGGTGCATGCATAAACGGACTTATAACACTTATTGTAAAGGCTATATCATGCCTTATATGAGATAAATAAATTAGTCTACCGGCCAGTTGTTGGTAATGTTCTCTACCTACCACTTCGTCTTCAGATGTTGCCTTCAGTTTTACATTGGGATCCGTTGGTATTTCTGTTGTCTTACACCCTGTCATCCATGTTTTTGTGAGTAAATCAAGTATATATTTGTGTTGGTTGAGAAAGATTCCCTCTTTAAACCTTGCGAATTTCATCCCGAGAAATACTTTAATTTTCCAAGATCCTTGATATCAAATTCAGCTTCAAGTCTTCTCTTTAGATCACTTATCTCATTAACATCAACTTCTGTCATGATAATGTCGTCAACATACACTATTAAAATAACAATCTTACCTTCATGTATATGTTTAAAGAACAATGTATGATCTGCTTGATTTTGAGTGAAACCATATTTCTTAACAACATTTCCAAATCTTTCAAACCAGGTCCTTGGTGATTATTTTAATCTATACAAAAAAAATTTCAATCGGCAGACTTTGTCTCTTCCAAAATTTTCTTCAAATCCAGGGAATAAACTCATATTTACTTCTTCGTTCAATTCTCCTTTCAAAAAAAGCATTTTTAATATCAAATTGGCATTTAGAGTTCTCAACACTTCTCAACTTTCAACAGTTGAGTTATCTTTTCACCACAAAATTTCATTTTGGTCGGCAACATTAGTCTTGAAAAAAATTCTGCATCATTCATCTGTATGTTTTCATATTTCTTCCTTAAAAATTGCAATTTGACCTTCTTCAATTTTTCATCACCCCCGTTCATCTTCATAAACCTTTGATATATTTTCCTTAATTATTTTTTCAAAGATGCTTGAATGCCACACTTTTCTCATCTTTCTTGCTCAATTCTCGAGATCAGTCTTCTGCATTTCTATTGCATTGGGTTTCAATGCTGAGAAGACACCATTCATGATTTCAAGCACATTGAAATCTGAATATAACTTTTATTTGAGTGCATCAGCTATCATTATTTTCACCTTTTAGCCACCTTTTAACACCGGTAGAGTTGTATGGAATTTGATTAGATGTTATGTTTTCATTTGTCATTGATGAAAACTTAGATCAAATTGTTGATCATGATACCAACTTGTTGGAATAGTTTGACACACAAAGCAGTAAGCACGAGAGATAGAGAAACTTACAATGAGTTATAATATAATTAAGATAAAGAGAATGTTTGTTGGAATGATTTGAATGTGTTACAAGTGATAGAGGGAGTATGTATAGTTAAAGAATTAACTAACTATCTTTTAGACTGTCAATTTAAGATAATTTACCTATGTTGCAAGTCACTTAGTTACAACAAAATCAATAAGAACAATTCTTGGTGACTAAAGCTTAAATTAGTCACTTAATTACAAACAACTCTTATACAATTAATCGATATAAATTTGTACATATATTTTTCAACAAATATAGGTGATCCTCATTTAAATAACAAGGGATTTTATTTAGCGTGTTCCCCTTAGTACACACCAAAAAAGAGATCTTATTTACAATATACACACACACTAGACACAAGTAGTTTAACTAGGTAGAATGAAGTGGATCACTTGATTCAATTCTATATCATGCACCATGTTCTTTTCTATTCAAGGGTTAAAACACTCAACAAGCATGGAAAGTGAAGCCTCTGAAAACAGCAACCTAGGCTTGAAAAACTGGATGGCTGAAGCCAATATCCCAGTTGAAGTGTTGTTGTTTTGTTGGCTAGTTTCATGTTGAGTGGAGGCAGTAGAATGAATACTCTGAGTTTGAAGCTTTTCCCTTTCCCTCAGTTTGGACATCTCGTTTGTCCATATATCCACAAGTCCAGACATCACTACTATAAAAGGCCAAAAACACTTAAAGATGAAAAGACACTAGTAGTTGAGTAGATGTTTGCTTTGAATATGTTTGGAGATTGTGTGTCATATATATTATATATAACATGACAAGATTTTGTGCAAAGTTTATCTAGTTTGTATATGCAAAACCACTAGCTATACCATGGTATTAGATAGATGTTATTGAGCAACCGCGGTATCAGGTTAAACCGTGGAACTATCAAGTTACTACTACTAGTTTCAATAAACTTGCGCCATCAATACAAAAGTTGAAATTATTGAATTGTTTTAACCTTGGAAAATACTCTGTTGGCTCAATCAGATTGAGTATGTATCAAAAATAAATAAATAAATCAGACTTGCATTAACACACTATATGACTCATCTACTGCCACGTGCTACCTCCCTCCCAGGTGGCATACTGCAGGTGTGCGGCAGGATAACTATGATGAGACTATCCTTATCTTTAGAATATATCATTTCGTAAATGAGAACTTAAAAAACTCTTGCACAAGACAAATTTAGTCCTACGATTAAGTAGTAGATATAAGAAACTGCATACAAGTTTTCGGAAAAACAAATTTTAAGGATGCATGATTATGAATTGACATATTTTTTAAGTTTAAATGCAACTTTAATCTTTCTATTTTGTATTTTGTTTTTTTTTTTAATTTTAGTCTTTTGATTTTAAAAACTGATTTATATAATCTTTTTATTTTATTTTTTTTAGAAATAAAACCCTCTTCTAATTTGAGTGTGTTTTTTAATGGCATGACAGATTCATTACATATATGACATATATTATATGGATATTATAATTTATAATTGTATGTTTTGTTTATTTTTTAATTTTTGTAATGAAATTAAAAATTAAAATAAAAAATAAATTATTATTTAATTTTAATTTTACAGAATCTGCGTCTTCTTCTATCAGGTAAGCTGCATCTTCTCTCTCAAGTTGCATCGTCTCCCTCAAGCTGCGTCGTTTCTCTTGTCTGCAAGTGTCATATTCTTTGTCTTCTTCAAACTTCATTCATCTTCTTCTCATACTTCTGATACATCATTTATGTCTTCTTCAAGGTTTTCAATTGCTTCAACATATCACTTGGATTTAAGAAGAGTCCATACATGTTAGTGTGACATTGAGTCACCATTAATGATATCATGGACCTACGAAATTCCAAATAGAAGATTTTATGATTGTGGTAATTGCAAGTTCGTGAGAAAAAGAGATTATAATTATTTTGAATTGTATGATAAAGACATGGGCGATTGTGCAAAGGATATAATTAGGCTGTTGAAAAACACAAATGATGAACTTACGAAGATGCTGAGGGAAAGAGAGAAAAATGAAGAGTTGTTAAATGAAAAGAACAAATTTATGGGTTATTTACTGGGTTTATCACTTGTGTTTGTTATGTTATTTGTGTTTGCATTTGCTGCAACACAATTATTTAAGTAGGTATAATATTGTAACATGTGTCTGGTTTATCTATGTAACATGTGTCTGTTGTAATTTTCTGCATTTCATTGCATTTGTATGAACCTGTAATATTATATTCAATTGAAATGAAATGTGTTGTTGAAATTACTTTTGTTGTTAATTTATATTCAAAACAAAGTATCCAGACCTATTTTGGTTGATATGCACTATAACAAACCTGTTTAGATTGATATGCACTATAACAGACATGTAAATGATATTCACTATAACAGACTTGTTTTGATTGATATCATTATAGACGATATGTTTTGATTGATATACACTATAACAAACATTATATTTTCATAACAAAGATTCATAACAAATCCAAAATTCATTAACAAGTTCACTATCCAAAAGTCATTATAGGCCAAAAACATGTTCAAAACACAAAAGTTATTATAGGTCTAAAATAGGTTTACTACACAAAAGTCATTATAGACTCGAAACAGATAACATAAATCCTAATGTAAAACTATTCTTGAGTTGCTCTTGGTGCTTGAGACCCTCTTTCTATGACAGTTTGCCCAACATCCTTTTTTGCCTTTTGTTATGCCTTTTTGTTGCCACCCTTAGGATTGGATATCTTATCCCCTCGCTTCCCTTTGCAAGTTCTTTTGTTATGTTCCATATTACCATATTTTTTGCATTTCACAGTTTGAAGAAGTCTTGGAAAAATGTTTGTTTTTTTAGGCTCATCATTAGCCTTGTTTTGATTCTTTTTTGGGTGCCAAATAGCTCTTCTCATGTCAGGTGGATTGATGGCTATTTTTCCATCATTTGGCCATAATTGTGGCTCATTTATTGGCAAGATGATGTGAGTGTATGTAGAAAGTACGGTAGATCTCCTATATGCACAGAAAATTATATCATTAATATGATAACATATAAAATACAAACCTGAAATGAAAAAACAGGCTGAATATGATTGTTTACCTATAATACGATAAAACATAATCTTCTGGTGCTTTTTGGTTATACCATATACAAGAAATAGCATGGCAACACTGTATCCCAGTCAAATTCCACCTTCTGCAAGAGCAATCTTTTGAAGCAAATTCACAACATAGGTTTCTCTACCATCTGACACCCTAAAAATGGAAAAGCCATCATCATTGTGCCAAGTTGCTTTCCATCCACCAGCTTCCCCTTTTGATCTTTCTAAGACCTTTTGTATGTTGGGACTTATAATTCCTTTACATTTAACTAGGGTATCTTTTTGTGTAGCAATCCCCAATGTTAAATAGGTCTTGATTCCTTCCAACAATGTAATAATTGGTTTGTCTCGATACTCCAAGGTTGCTCTATTGAAGGCTCCGCACATGTTATTGACTTGCAAAGCACGTTGAGTATCTGTCTTAAAATGTGCTCTACTCCAACAAGCAGTAGGAACTGTCATCATGTATTTCCAAGCATTTGGATTAAGTTCTTTCAAGTGATTCATTACCCTTTCCCAAATAGGTAAAGTTGTTGCCGTAACAGCCCTCCATAAAAACTTTCTTCATCATTATCCCTAGATATTTCTTTCTCCAATTTCCATACAAATATTTGACACATAATCTATGTTCAACGTATTTGCTTGTCTCCAGAATAGTCGATAATAATCCCTAAAAGAATGGCATAAACAAATGACTGTATGACAACAAAACCACAACAAATGACAATCTAAAGTAAATATGAAACAAAAGAATTTCATTACCTTTTACGGGTCTGAGATAAAGCCATGTGTGATACGGTGGGAGAACTGACTTGGGATTTTGCGTTTTGTATTCGCAAATGTTTCGGTTGAGCAAGAGTCGCCACTGACTTTTTATTTTATCCTAAGGAAAGGTTTAAAAAGCACAGGAAAAACCTTTGAGATGTTTTCTTGGGTTCGGGGAGTAGATTATAGAAAGGGAAGGTATTAGCACCCTTTCTATCCATGGTTATCCATGGGCTCTTAGTTACTTGCTTAGATCACTTGCTTTACATTTTCAATCGTTTGAAATGGTGCTTCGTGTGTGGTTTTGAAAGGTGTTTTTTTAAAAGAGGCCATCGTTGTGGCAACCTTTGTAATGATTCTTGTTTGAATGTATACAAAGGTGTTTGTCTTTTTGAAAGGTTTTCAATATTTTGAAAGTTGTTTTGAAATTGTGTTGTGGAGTGTGTTTTGAAAAATAGCAAGGATGTTTTGCAAGATTTTTGATCAAGTAACTAAGAGTTGTCTACATTTTACTCAAAGATCTTTCTTATGTTTTTTAACCCTTTTAACAGTGTTGTTTCACCATTGCATTTGGTGAACAACCTTGTGTTAGGATGTAAACGGACGGGCGCGGGTCATCGTATAGACCATGATAGCAATGTTGCAAAGTATCTTAGTTTTTCTTTTGATGGACTAAGATCATTTTTGTAAGGCAACTTTCGAAAGCGTCATCGAGGGACTATGATCTTTTGATTTTGTTTGTTTTACCAAGATACTTTGCATGCGTAACATGGCCCTTTTTTTTTTGAAAGGCAACAAGTGGATGTAACCCTAGGGGTGTTAGTGTGCAAGTGTGTTTTATTGCATACAAGAGTTTATCTTTGAATTAGGATTTTCTATTTCATTGATTTTATCTTGCCATACACATCCTAATTACTAGCAATAAGAAGCGGAAATATAAAATCCTACGCTATTACAACAATTAGGGAGTGGGGGTACACATTTGTACATGGGGGGTTCAACGAGAAAAATAGACAAAAAAGAAAATAGCAAAAAACAAGATAGAGATAAAGAGAGAGGGAGCCAGCGCGCTGCTGAGAGGTCATCAGAAGTTCTGACTCAGATCCGCTGCCAGATGATCAACCTTTTGGTTAAACTGTATGAGTCAGAACTTCTGACTCCAGCACCTGCAAAACAGAAACCTGTTAGTGGGAAGATCAGAAGTTCTGACCCCCCTGCGCTGTAAGACAGAAGTTTGTTAGTGGGGAAATCAGAAGTTCTGATCCTGCTGGAAAGACAATAACTCTCAGAAGTTCTGATATTATTGACAGCAAAACGGGCTTCAGATGTGCTAACGTCAAAGTCAGCACTTGGCTTCTCCCTGTGCTAATTAGAACATCTGCAATTTTGTTATTTTTCCACAAAACAGACAACATATTTGGAGCAGCTCCAGCAAATGTCAAAGTATTTCAGAGGACAGAACCAACAAGGTCACAGGCAGGTTCTAGGCTGACTCAAAAATGTTCTGAGGTATGAAGATCCTCAGAACACAAACAGCAACAACATGATATTTACATTATGTTTATTTGAGCATGCAAAGCTGATGATGCTTAGCAGCGTGATGAAGGTCAGCAGGTGCTTACCTGGCTGTTGGAAAAGTTTGTGGATGAGAGCTAGCTTTTGGCTCTGATGGTATTCTGGACAGGTTCTTTTTAAAAAGGGTAGGTGAAGGTGTATGCGTATATAGGGTCAGAAGTTGAAAAGGGTGTTCTTTAGTTCACAAAGAAAACTGGGTATTTGATGAAGTTTGAAGGTAAGAACTTCAAAGTT